TTCATTTAGTTTAGTTTAGTTTCACTAGCTTTAGTTGAGAGTGTTAAACTGAAATATGTTTGACTTGGAGCTGAATGATTTTTGTAAATAAACTCTTATATTTTGAACAGAAGTGTTGGTGAATTTATTCCATGTATGTGCAGAAATAACTGTTTGACCATGATTAGTGCTCGAATCACTCTTTCATCTATTGTTCTAACACACAGTTAGTAGGACTGTGTGTCATAAACAGTATATAACAGCTGAAATAATATCTGATTAAATAAGATATTTTACCACCCCTACAGGGGAGGGCAATACACATCTTAAAGTATCAGTAATATAAACTCCCAGCTGGCTGGGAATGGAAAAGAACATAAAATCACAACAGAATCATTTTGCTTTTTATCAAAGCACCTAGTAAGTTTAATTTTTTTTTAGTATAATCTCACAAACATTTAAGTGCCCGGATAACAGAGCACAGTGAAGCATTATAAGACAGCTGCCGACAGTTCATGATGTAACCTTGGGTAAAAAAAAGCTGGTTTCCAGAATTTCCAAATTACAAATGATAAGAAGTTTTATCCCATCGCTTCTGCCACTTCTACACAAGAATAAACTTTAGTAACATAAATTACAGTAGCTGTGGCTCTAAGTAGTCGATTCTGGTTAAAAGCAATAAAATGACTCTGTGGAGTGCACTATACATATATTGCTTGGACTTGGAGGGAAGTTGGCTGCCATTCAGCTGGCGTTTGACTGGGAAGGGCCATTTTGAATGGCTTCCTACGGTATCTGCTCGATGTACAGTTATGCAGCGGACCAATCCCAATATAGCATTTAATTACTGGCAAACTCTCTAACAAAACAAAATATATATATATATGAAAAACACATTGTGACGTGAATATAACGTGTAATAAAAAGGTTTAGAATATGTAGTGTGGTTGAAAGTACAAGTAATTGATGTAAATTGTAGTTGAATAAAAGTCGAAAGTATCCATGGTTAAATCTGTTGCAGTAAGTTCAGAAACATAAAAAATTACTTAAGTACAGTAACAAAGTACTTGTACTTTGTTACATCTAACTGGATCCAGCTTTGTGATACCAGAAAGTCAGTTGAGGCTGAAGTGTCACTCTGACCCTGTAATCCTGCTTCGTGGTACAGGCCTCTGATTCAGTGGCTGGGCAAAAAAAAAAAAAAATTACATTGCATAGAGATGACTTGTTGACTTCACATCTCCCACCTCTGGCAGCAGCACAGCTGGTATTCCTCCCTTTAGTTGAGTCACAGTCAAAGAGGAACAAAAGCAGAGCAAAAATAAAGTTATGCTTGGTGCTAACAAATGTTGGAGAATCGCAAAAAATAATTAGGATAAAGAAGAATGATGAAAAGTGGTCCTTATGGACTGAATTCTCCCCTGCTGAATCGGGCTGTTCACCGGAGCTCCTCTTAATTCTCTACTCACCCATTGAATAAGGAGACACCACTCTGTTTTCAACTATAAGCTTTATCAAAAAGGAAAGTTTTAAGTCTAGCCTTAAAAGTAGGCAGGGTGTCTGCCTCACGGACTAAAACTGGTACCGTATTTTCACGACTATAAGGCGCACTTAAACGTCTTTTTTTTCCCTCAAAATGTGCGGTGCGCCCTATGTGTGTTGTAACTGCGACTTTTGAGACCACCTCATTGAGGAGATGATGAAAGAGTGGCTGAATGTAAGGAGACCAGGTGTTTTTTTTCCACTCATCACCATTAATCTGTAACTCCATGCGTGCCCATCTCACAGCTGATGTAAAAAACATGGGGAAACAAATTAACGCTGTGCTCGCTGTTCAACCGCTCGACATCGGTGTGAACCGGACCCAGCAGGTGCAGCAGAAGCAGCGAGTTTACATGCAAAGTCAATGGTTGACGCGCGTATAGGTGCAGCAAAAGGTCCCGCAGCGCGTTTTGGTGCAGCACGTCGGGAGCGTTTAAACATCTGATGCACCGCCAACGCGCTGCTGCTGCTCAGATGGAAAAATTGAAGTTTTGCTGCTGGAAGCGCCGTATCAACCAATCAGAGAAGCTGATCTGGGAGCTGGCAGCGAGACAGACAGCGCTCTGATGACATATGATATTAACGCAAATGAAAAGGCTGGGTGAACGCTGTGCTCGCCGTTACCCCGGGGGGTCTGACAAAGGAACTTCCACCGCTCGACATCGGTTTGAAGCGGCCGTTCACAGTAAGGCTGCGAGCGGCGTGGGAGCGATGGATGACAGACGGAGACCACAGTTTCAGGATAAGTGGAAGGCAGCGCCAGGCAAGTTACGCCACCGTTTGCGGATGGATTGTAGATGGACTGTGTCTGCTGGCTCTGTTGTTCAAGCTTTCGCAAAAGCCGGCATTATTTCTGAGGAGCTGCGCTGCACGGAAAGTGACTCTGACAGCGAAGAAGGGGAAACTGGCATGTCTGATTTAGCGCAGCTGTTTTATTCAGAGGAATGCTGAGGATAACAGAGGATGATGACTTTGATGGGTTTGATTAATACTTTGTAATAAATACATGAATAAAGCACAATCATACTCAGTTTTGCTCCCGCTCTATTTTTCTCCCTGAAAGCTTAATTCAATGGCAGCCTCTGAGCGCGTCTCCTCCGCTTCACCGCGGTGGCTGGCAGGTGTTTTTTCATCTAAATAATCTAAATCTTGCAGCTATATTTGCTGTGATCAGTGGGAATAAATAAGTATAAATATGTTTTTAAGTGAGAAAGGCCACCTGAAAACTTAATAATTGCAGTCAGTTCATCCAGATTATCTATTTCTGTCGGAGGCGCTCAGACCCCCACATACCAGCGGTGCGCCGACAGGAGAAATCCTTTTGTTCACCGCGGCTGCTGGCAGGTGTTTTTCATCTAAATAATCTAAATCTTGCAGCTATATTTGCTGTGATCAGTGGGAATAAAGTAGTTTTAATATGTTTTTAAGTGAGAAAGGCCACCTGAAAACTTAATAATTGCAGTCAGTTCATCCAGATTATCTATTTCTGTCGGAGGCGCTCAGACCCCCACATACCAGCGGTGCGCTGACAGCAGAAATCTCTTCATCAGCAGCCTCTAGGCTGGGCAGCCTGGGGTTCACCGCGGCTGCTGGCAGGTGTTTTTCATCTAAATAATTTTAGCTGCAGGCACCAGGATACCGGCAATAAAAGCGAACATATTCCGTTGGCAGGTTTCAGGATTTTAAGTTAATTTAGGAGTGATCACAGCGCTGTGTCATCTGTCTCACGGCCAGCTGCCAGGTTTGATTAATACTTTGTAATAAATACATGAATAAAGCACAGTCATACTCAGTTTTGCCCCCGCTGTATTTTTAAATACGCAGTAGAGGTATTTAAAGGTAGTAGAGGACTTGTACCTGTATATAAAAAACGCGCCCTATAGTCCGGTGCGCCTTATGTGTGTGTTAAATACAGAAATGGGACACATAACTGAGAGTGCGCCTTTTAGTCCGGTGCGCCTTATGGTCGTGAAAATACGGTAGTTGGTTCCACAGGAGAGGAGTCTGATAACTAAAAGATCTGCCTCCCATTCTACTTTTAGTAGAAAAGCCGCCACCAAAAAAAAGGTGATTTACTCTAATACTTTGTGGACCGCCTTTAGCTTTGATTACGGCACGCATTCGCTGTGGCATTGTTTCCATAAGCTTCTGCAATGTCAAAAGATTTATTTCCATCCAGTGTTGCATTAATTTTTTACCAAGAGTTTGCTTTGATGATGGTAGAGTCTGACCGCTGCGCAAAGCCCTCTCTAGCACATCCCAAAGATTCTCAATGGGGTTGAGGTCTGGACTCTGTGGTGGCCAATCCATGTGTGAAAATGATGAGTCATGCTCCCTGAACCAGTCTTTCACCATTGAGCCCGATGAATCCTGGCATTGTCCTCTTGGAATATGCCTGTGCCATCAGGGGAGAAAAAGTCCATTGATGGAATAACCTGGTCATTCAGTATATTCAGGTAGTCAGTTGACCTCATTCTCTGAGCACATCCTGTTGCTGAACCTAGACCTGACCAACTGCAGCAACCCCAGATCATAACACCCCCCCACAGGCTTGTACAGTAGGCACTAGGCATGGTGGGTGCATCACTTCACATGCCTCTCTTCTTACCCTGATTGGCCCATCACTCTGGAACAATCTGGACTCATCAGACCACATGACCTTCTTCCATTGCTCCACAGTCCAATCTTTATGCTCCCTAGCAAATTGAAGCCTTTTTTTCCGGTTAGCCTCACTGATTAGTGGTTTTCTTACGGCTACACAGCTGTTCAGTCCCAATCCATTGACTTCCCTTCGCATCGTGCGTGTGGAAATGCTCTTACTTTCAGTATTAACCATAGCCCTGAGTTCTGCTGTTGTTTTTTCTTCAAGCATTTTTTTTTTTCATTTTAAGCTGCATTGTTTAACTCATAAATAAAATTAGTAATCAATGAAGACAGCAGTTTTGCTAACTGATAGTTCAACTGGATCAAAAGAGTCTAAACCCGGTTCAGATTCTGTGTTTACCTCAGGTGCTTCCTCACCTTCCAGAGATAAACCAATTGCTTTTGGTGCCAATGATCATTCATTTATTTCATTTTGGCTATGGGCTAGACACTATCTGGATGGAGCTGCAGAAAGGTGTGTTAAACTCTGCTGACTGGTCTGCATCCTGGGTTGTCAGTGTTTTGAAGGACTCCTACATTTAGCCATATTTTAAGAAAGAAAAGCTGCATCAGGCGAAGTTATCCTGTTTTATCAATGTAGCCCACATTGTTCTCAGTATCAATGTAAATGTGCAATAATGTAAGCTGAGTGTATATCTATAATGCTCATTTGAAATAACGGTACTCATTCTTGAGTACATTTTTTATTTTGCTACAGCAGGATCAAAATATATTTACACCGTTTTGGTTCTTATCTCTTTAAAAAAAATCCTGTCCATATCATTCCTATATTCTATTAAATATTTGTCTTCTTTTTTGTATTAACGAGCTATCATTTACCAGAGGATTTCTAGACTATTGTAATATTTAACATTTTATTAATTTGGCTCTTTAAGCTAGTGTGTTAGGCCCTCTATAGGATGTTGTGGAGTATTGCCTTGTGATTTCTCTGCAGGTTTTTGAACAGAGTTCTGGTGTTTCCTGTCACTGTGGGCTGCAGAGCACAGTAGTACACAGCAGAGTCTGACAGATGGAGATCCTGGATCGTCAGGTTAAATGTTGAGTTCTTGAGCTCTGCATGAAACCTGTCTTTGCTGAACTCAGGTGCATTTTCAGGTCTTCCTAGATATTCTTTCAGCATGTACTTTGGGAAGCTGTTTTGTTCTTGTTTGTACCAGAAGAAGGCATCATTTGTACGGGTGCTTGTAAAATTGCATCCCAGAGTCACAGATTCTCCTTTAGCAGCAACAACATGAACTTCTGTCTGCGTCACTGAGTCTCCTTTACACTCTGAGGAAGAACAGAACATGCAGAGGAAGAGATGAATCAATAAAGACGATTTATTAAATGAAACAAAATAAAGATTTCTATTCAGTGTATGTATAATTTTCACTGATCATTGTTCAGGTGTTTGAAGAGGAAACATGTTGAGCTTTCTATCTTACCAAAGAAAAGAGCAGCTAGAATAATCCACAGCCAATGTTCCATCTGTCCAACAAGGTTTAAATCAGCAGGAGAAACTAGCTGATGTTCAACATTCAGTCTGACTATTGTTCTCTTCACAGCAACACTTATTATTGACACAATGCTGGAACACAGCGCACAAGGAGAGCTCCGCCTACTGGATGATGCCGCCCTCTGGTGGAGATAGAAGATCTAGATAAACATGTAGAAGTCTTCAAGCATGGTGCCAAATGACAAAACATACTGATATCTTATCTTAAAGGATCACCGAAGAGCACCTGAACCTTCAAAATCTACTCTGGTGCCATGGATGATGGCCAAGAAAATAGAACTATTTGTCTGTTGAGGACGAGATCTTGATATTAAGATGCTTCTCAATGGACCATTGCCACAGCATTTCTGATGAGACGAGACTTTTTCTGGTATTCTGATAATATGTTAAACTTGCAATAATTCCTCTCCACCAACCCAAACACCAACCCAGACCGTTTCCCCCATTAAACCCTTGTCACCCCACAACCCAACTCAGACCAAATGCTTTCAAGATACCCCTGTTTAATGATGTTGCTTTCCCACAGCCAAGCTCTCTCCCAATGAGCTCCTTGACATCAAGGAAGACCTTCAAATTCTGGGATACATTTTTTGTGCCCGAGTGCTAACTCCATTAGAAATGATAATTCCCAGGAAAAACTTAGGCCATTAATGGGACTCCTAAGATATCTGTACTTATATGGGAGAGACAGATCAAGGCCAAAGGATAAGAGACAGTACTAAACCATCAAACTTAAAAGTTTTAGATTGTCAGGTACAAACAACCCTTGTTGGTATCAGCCACTAAGTCATATTATCTGGGATTACTGAAAATCCTTTTGAGGCAATGACTCACAGACTGTCAGGACCAATATACACCGTTTTAGCCAGAACCAACCAGGGTCTGAGTCTTCTACCAGGCTCTAGAGGAATGATCTTTTCCACTTAGGACTTTGGATTAAGTTAAAGCTATGAAATTCATTTAAGATGCATAATCACAGGAAAGAAGGCCAGTGGTAGTTTTTTTAAAGAGACACTGGAGACTTTTAGACATTTCTGTAAATGTGCCAAATTTTAATAAAAGAATTGCAAATATTCTGACTTCTGGACCCATGGCTCTATGGTGGAGGGATTCCATAACCTCTGCTGTTACAGCGCTGGAATAAATCTTGCATAGTTAGTGATATTTTTTCTATTCTAAACTTCGTGATGAACCGACATTTACAAGAAATATGTACCTGCACTAACTTGTAACAATAGGAATGAGGCCCATTTCTTTGCCTTGGTTGCATCTCTTTCATATATTTCGTGTAAAAATTATCTTTTTAATGTTCATTGTTATCAAAGGTTGTTGCATATAGTTTAAGGTGAACAGTTTTCTGAAATCAAATCTTGGGACAGCTCATATAAAAAAATAAATAAATCGCTTCAAGACAAATAAGGAAACTGGGACAGTATAGTTAAACAACAAAAATCGAACTTAAAGCCAGGAATGTACCCCTACAACCTGTTTTTTATGAGACTAATGAAATAAATAGATTGAAAGTGTTATTAGTAGAATTGTGTCCCTCTGTTGGTGGAAAGGGGTGAGGGTGGGAGTGAAAGGGTCAAGGGTTCTCTCCAGGTCTCAAATTTTGTGGGGCCTACAGTAGAGAGCTCTGCCGGCCCCTAAGGGGAGAGTGGCAAGAGGAAAAGAAACAACTGAAAAGTAAATATAAACATTCATCTGAAAATTTGGCCTATTGCTGTTTCCCCACCTCTTCAAAAAAGTGAAACAAATACTCATTCTGTTCACATCTACATACTTATTAAAATAAGGTTTTTCCACATTAACATGGATAACATTTATGCATGCGTCAGATAATGAACTCAAGCCTACATTACCGTGTTAACATGCTTTTCAATCCTTCCTGCACATTCTTTTCAAACTAAACTTTGCTTTAAACTGTTGTGTGCTTGGAAAAATATAAATTGTAACTTGACAGGTTAAAAACTTCAGATAAATCACAAGACAGAAGTCAATGTCACAAATGAATAACTTTTATTTTAGAGTCACGGTATGTTTATTAAAGATAATACTATTAATATAATGTGACTTTTGTAGAGAATCATTATCCATAGTTATTTTATTCAGGGTTTCCACAGTCTGACATCATTTCAGAATTCCCTGACTTTTAACTGACTCGGGATTAGTTTTCCCTGACAAAATAAATGCAGCAACAAGACAATAATAAGAACATAACAGGTCACCAATCTAACATGTTTAGCTCTATAACCTTTAAATGCACCTCTCCAATGTCTGAGAGAAAAACATTTAATGAACATTTTTTGATGGATGACCTGCACCACAGTACAGAAGACTGCCATATGATAGCCATATTTACACTGTGCGCATGGCATACAATTATGCCAATTTTCCTAATCCCTGACCGATAGTTTTTTAATCTAGGGTTATCTGGGTGGTGGGTGAAATGGGTGGAGGGTAAAATAGGTGGTGGGTGTGTTACTGTACATACATTTCTTTGCCTTGTTGTTTTTTAGCCTGCTAAGTCCAAAAAAATGTGTCTGATTTGCGCCAATTCCCGGTCAAAAATCACGCCATCTGGCGGAAAATCTTGCGGCTTTTTCAAATCACGATGTCAGAATGTGTACAAAACAACCAAAATGGCGCAGGCAGCGCTTGTGGGTCGTTTTCAGCGAATGTCGGTAATTTAAAAGTAATTTTGAGTGATAAATATTTTTTTTTGCAGCGGGCAAGTGCAATTAAATTTGTACTCTCCCGACAATAAAAACTACTTGCCCCGGGCGATCGGGCAATGGTTAAGATCGAGCCCTGGTATATCACTATCAACTGACCACATCAGGAGCCTCTACATCTCACAGAAGCGTCAAAAAAGTAAAAAAAAAAACAATCCACTGAACTTTGTTTCCAAGTTTAAAACATTTTGCTTCCCATTTAGGAAGCTTTATCAAAATGTCAGAAATAGCGTTGAGTTCAAGGCATAGTACAGTAGCCTAACAAAGCCTTTTTCCAGTTGTGCGAGAATTTTCCGATCGGGCTGACTTTCAGCCTGGTTGTGCATCGTGTAATTTACAGGAGGTAACGAGGGGCGATCAACCTCCCACGACCACTTCCCCATCAGAAATCAAACATCTTTGATTTTCTCCCGACCGTCGTGGGCAAATCTCTCAGAGGGCATGCACAAACAAGGATCCTTCTATCTCTTCTTCCCAGAAGCATGGGTGTGAGTGAACTGGGATTCTGTCTGTACGTAGACACGTCTGCTCAAGCATGTCTTTGACCAAATATGTCGTCGCTTTTTCTTTTTAGGGCTTTCAGAACAAAATAACCCAAATTACCAACGCAGTGCGTTTCACTCTAGTGAGCTTCATATCTCATATTATTATTATTATTATTATTATTATTATTATCAATATTATATTATCACAACACTCTAAATTTTTACAGGAAATTAATAACTCATAGCTAAAGAAATATTAAATTATTACAGAAAAAAGTAAGTAGGGCATAAAATAAGGTGAAATTAAAAGCTTAAACGAGAAAACACTTGTAAAATGGAAGAATTAACCTAAAAGTACATTACAAAAAACAAAATTAAATTGTGAAAAGTATGTTCTGAAAAAGGCAAAAGCATGTTGAGAAAAAGTTGATGAGAAAAGCAAAGATATGTTGATGATAAATGAATGTGGTGAGAGGGGAACGTGACTTAAAGTGACTGAAGGATGAAGTGGGGCAACTGATGAGAAAACATTCCTTACCTCATAAAATGCTTCTTCTTTTATATGGTAAAGATGAACAATTTTATTTTATTAATTTTTTATTTATTATTATTCATTTGAAACATTGAAACTCTTCCTTAAACTAATCATTGTTTTCTTTACTCCCTACCCTTTAAACATGGACTCCCTGAACGGAGCCGCTCCTTGTGGAATTCAGACCTGGAGGAGATGCCCCCGCATAAAGACAGCCTGCTACAAGCATCAATCTCCCCCCAACGCACACACACCGACACAGCAACCGGATGGAAATTATGAGTTAAAATAGGGGGGAAAAAAGACAAAAGGATTTTCATCTGCTCTGAACCCCTGACCCTAAAAACTCACCTGAGCTGCAACTTGCTCCACAATGTGTGTGTGTGAAAAAAACCATGAGGACAGAGACACTGGGGAATTTTTTTTGTGGGGAAACAAGGAGGAGGTGCACCAACATAAGGCTTTCCTTCTCTCCAGTGCTAAATTATTTTTAATCATCTAATTATTTGTTTTGTTTGAGAAGTGGCTAACCTTTTTGGACTGAGGTGAGGGGGCTCCAGGACTGAAACCACCTGTTGGCAGCAATCAGTAAAGGGTAAAGTGATCGACCAATTTTATTTTATTTTATTTTCCTTTTTCATAGACTTCCAACTATTCAAGAAAAACTTGATAACTTTCTCTTATTAGATTCCTTTCTGCATCTTGCAATGAAGAAAATGCTGCTGACAGACTGACTGACTGACTATGGGAAAATGTCTAAAATGAGGGTAATGATGTATGGACTGGTTGGCTTTCACTAAACAATGTTTGTTTTAGAGTCAGTATAATAATTTCTGATTAAATTAGAACCAACCTTAAATATCTAAACCAAAAATTATCTTTTTAAAAGAGAAAAACTCAGCAGCAACTGTCCTTTCCTATGTCGGCTTCAGGACTGGAAAATAAAACATTTATTATCAGGCCTGTGGTTGTTTAAAGACAGGACGGGTCTCGTTTTGTTCATTTCCTGCTGTCACCATGTTTCATGATGTTATGGACGGACCTGGAGATGAAAACTTAGGCAAATCCAGAGAGAGAAAAGGGTCCAAACATGGTCTGACACAGTAGTAGTAAAATGCGCACAGGTTTTAGTCACAAACCAAATTCTCTATTTCCACAGCAGCCACTCGGAGAGATTAGCTTCATCTCTTCATGATTTTGTGGTATGTTGCTTTGCTTTTACCGCTGACCCAGTTACAGGAGGTTTGGTAAAGATGGGGAGGCTAAGGGCCCCCCAACCGCCAGTGAGAGAAAAGGGCCTGACACACACCTCTAT